AATAATAATAATATAATAATAATAATAATAATAATAATAATAATAATAATAATAATAATAATAATAATAATAATAATAATAATAATAATAATAATAATAATAATAATAATAATAATCACCTACACAGGTTCTACCATGGATGAAAATACATTTGGTCTGCAGTGTCCGTGTTTGAAATAGTTACTGTATAGGGCCTATAATCCAGAGATATACACAGCGTGGAGGATTTAAACGCAAACCTGCAAGTAATGTTGTCCCGTCTTGGTGACACCGTTTCAAAGCTAAACTAAAGCTTAATTATCAAAAGCGATAGTGAATTTGCTTCTTGTTTATTAGAGAATAAATATAGATACTTGAATAACTCTTAGTTTATTATACTATATATTGCCTGATCATTGTCCATAGATCTGCTACTTAATATTTTGGGTCCCTGAAACTAGAAACTATTAACAGTTTAGGACGCAATGATTATTGCATAATTATGCACATCGAGTTTAGGTCTTTCAATGTTAACTTCCTCGAACGTGGTTACAAAAACATATTATTTCTGGACTTAGACCAGTTTTAAAAAAACACCGAATAAAACTGTTCTCATTACTTCGAATTTTTAATTAAATAACCTGTTATATGTCGAATGAAAGGTAGGCTATACTTTATTGTCTTAAATTACTGCCGTTCGTGTATAAAAATAACGATTTATTGAAAAAGTTCTTTTTTTTTTCAAAACGATCTCTTGTAGAACTATAAAGTTGTATTTGCATAGGCTTATTTATAATAATACTGACTAAATAACATTGCAAACGTTGTTGCACCATTGTGTTAACGTACTATCTGACATAATTTAAAGTTGGTGTTTTAAGTAATAGTTTGCCTAATATCAGAAAGTCAGTATAGTGAGACATTTTTTCTCACTATACTGACTTTCTGATTTTAAGCAAAATATTATTTAAAACAAGTATTTTTTTTCCTTAAATTTATAAAATATTTCTTGAAATAAGAATTTATTAAGGAAATACTTCTTGAAATAAGAATTTATCAAGAATATTTTCTGGACTAGATTTTAAATTTTGCTGTGAAAGGAGATATAATATAATATAAAGGAGATACTATTTTAAAATATAATATAAAGGAGATGCTATTATATATAAATGTTCGAAGTAACACTGTAAAAACCGCGTGAAGGATTCTTAAAAACATAGCGCTACGTAATTTTGTCCCACTGGAGACACGTTTGAAAAGCTGTTTGTATGTTTATTAGGATCATGACGGGCTTTCGTATTTATAACAATGTATTACACATCATGAACACGCACTTTCTTATCTTGTTGTAAAATGGAAAACCATTGAGTCTTAGATATAAGCATAGAGAAAATAGAACAGAATAGAATAGAATAGAATAGAACTGTTCTATTTTCTCTATAATATAAGCGTGCCTTGAGAAATAATTGTGGACTAAACAGTATATATTTGACATTAAAGTTTTAGATACTGTTGTCTTTGTGAATGCTGTTATGTATTCTGAAAATTATTTTCTACCGAACATGCTCCAGATCTCGGGAATAAACTTCCCCTGGATGTTCGAACTTGTTCTTTCGGTCAGTTCATTCAAGTCCCGTCTCAAGACATTTCTTTTTCACCAATATTTTGATTAGTTTTCTTTTTTTTTTCTTTTTCCGTATTTTTTTTTTCTTTTTGACTTTGAATTGCCTTTTAATTGCACTCCTTTTCATTTTTCTTTAATCTTCTTGAAAGCGCATAGGGAGCAGTCTGCGCTATACAAGCATGATTAATAATAATGATAATAATAATAATAAAAATAATAATAAAAATAAAAATAATAATAATAATAATGATAATAATAATAATAATAAAAATAATAATAATAATAAAAATAATAATAATAATAATAATAATAATAATAATAATAATAATAATAATAATAATAATTGGAAATTTTGAACATAATATTTCTTTAAACAAATATATTTTATCACCTACACAGGTTCTACCATGGACGAGGCAGTCAATAATTCAACTACACGTCCCGAATTACAGGATTTAATCCACGACAACGCGTGGCTGATAACTCTGCGATTCGTGGTCGTGGGTTTTGGAATCGTGCTCAACAGTGTTGTCACTGGAGTGTTCATGTACACACGAATGTACAGAAAGTCATTACTACACGGATTAATCGTCCAACAATCGTTCGTGGATTTCTTTGGTTGTTGTTTCTTTCTTATATTTTATAATCAAGACGCACCGAGTGGAAACTGGGGGAGAGCTTTTTGTAGATCTCGTAGTCTCTTCTGGTTTGCTTCATCAACGTCAACGTACAATCTTCTGATAATAACCATCGAACGATTTATTGCGGTCGTGCATCCAATAACTTACAGAAAAAAAAGCATTGGAAAAAGGTCTCGGTTGTTTTACATCATACCATATATTATTGGGTTCTTGATTTCATTCCATCTCGCGATTATCGCCGATCTCAACGATGATCTAATCGGAGAGTGTGTGTATAATGCGAATCGTGGTTTCAGTCTTTTTTCAGGTCTTGTTATTTTTACTGGACTTTTTTTCCTCCCGGCATGTTTTATGTCTTACTGCTACGGTCGAATCTTGATGGTGTTCCGTAAAAGAGCAAAGGCACGGCAAGAGAACGCTGCGAGAGGCCCAGGAGGTACTGATAAGCCACCAAATAAAAGATCTTATCACGTATCCACGCAAAGAAACCTGGTGTACACGATGTTGTTCGTCGTTATTGGATTCATTTTTACGACTGCTCCTAACTTCACTATGTACCTGGTGTATAATATTTGTAGGTGTTTCGAATTCAGCACCATACTTGCACATGAAATAACTGTGCTCATCTACGCATGCAATATGTGTATCAACCCGATCATTTACGGAGCGAAGATGAATGAATTCCGCAGTGGTGTGCTAAACATTTGGCGTAGAACAATTAAGTTTCTGACGGGTGCGGACATTGCAGACGAATCAACGTGCGTTGATAACTCTCTATCTCAGAGTAACAACGATACACTGAACATTGAAAACAATGATAAGGAATGACTATTATGTATATTAAGTTTGCATACATGTAATTGTCTACCTATCTATCACCATTTAAACAATGTTAGAGAATGCATCGTCAAGTAGGCCCTATGCCTAAAACGTGGCGCATTAAATATTTAAAGAAAGTATGGTGATTTTAAATTTTGAATCTTGCTTACAGCAATAATGGATCTTTCCGGAGTGTCAATCAAACTTGATAACTGACCAATCAGAACAGGTCCCGGAATAAGCGCGCGTCTCACAAACACACGTGTGTTGTTGTCCCACAAACGCACGTACGTGTTTTTGCGAATGTTTTAGCACTTTTGTGGGACCTTAGCAACAATATCCAAGGGGCGGGGCTTAGCGAAAAGGTCTATTAAGCAACAGTAATGACAACATAGCAGTAACAGTACTGTTAATTGATTTTGAAAGAAACTTATTAAACTACAATAATAATCACATATTAACTTTATTACGACCACTGACAATGTTCTGTAAATACAAATATAGAAAGACAGAAATGTTTTGCCTTTTCAAGTATAACAGTAATAACAACATAGCAGTAACAGTACTGTTAATTGATTTTGATAAGAAACTTATTAACTACAATAATAATCACATATTTACTTTATTACGACCACTAAAAATGTTCTGTAAATACAAATATAGAAAGACAGAAATGTATTGCCTTTTCAAGTATAATTTTAATAGGCCTTTTCCACGAATCGGTTAGACATCTTGAAGTGATGACAAACATTGCGAATCAGCGGTGTGTAACCAACAGAAATAAGATAAGCTTTTGGGCTGATTTTCTGACATCATGTTATTTAAAAAATCATAACTCCATAACGGGACGTCGTATCGAAAAACTTTTCTCAGCAAAATGTTCTTAAAAGACTAGTCTACACCACTATATGATTGAAAAATTGAAAAAATGTTTTTGATATATGAAATCAAGTAGTGTATTAACATAGGTCTATGCATTACAGTGCAGTAGTACTAGTAATACTTAGGACTAGCATTGTTTTAGTTACCATATGAGAGTTTCCTGTGTTAAAAACATGATTTACTATACTATACTTCTTTATAAAACATAACTTGTACTTTATAATAAGAGAAATCTGTATATCGGTACCTGGAACAATAACAACACGAAAGTACTATGCTACTGCATTGTAATGCATAGGCCTATTTTAATACGTTACTTAGATAGGCTTTTCTTTTTCCATTGATATTGTTTACTTCCAACTTCCTTGATTCCTAATTAGTATGCCAGTTACGGTATGCATATAAACTCCTGATATTTCCTGGTTTAGAACAATACGTTTATTATAGGTTTATTACGGAACAGACGATATCTTAACAGTCTTAGGAGTAAAAGTCTGTTTAGCATACTAGAAAAGTGGTATGTATTAAGTATTTTCATTAAGTTTTTAATATTTTATAATCGTTTATCATTATTATTATCATTTATTAAAGTCGTTCATGTATATACATTAATAAACGATGCATTGGTGTAACACATTAACAACAATCGTACATTATAAAGAAATACAGTAATTGCTCTCAACAATGCGGTACTGTCTGCAGATTTATATATATATATATATAT